AGGACAATGACCCAAAGCACAGCTCCAAACTATGCAATAACTATTTAGGGAAGAAGCAGTCAGCTGGTATTCTGTCTATAAAGGAGTGACCAGCACAGTCACCGGATCTCAACCCTATTGAGGTGTTGTGGGAAAAGCTTGACCGTATGGTACGTAAGAAGTGCCCATCAAGCCAATCCAACATGTGGGAGGTGCTTCAGGAAGCATGGGGTGAATCTCTTCAGATTACCTCAACAAATTGACAACAGCTGCAAGTCTCTTGGGGTGTCTATATAAGCTTGGCACATCTAGCCACTGGGATTTTTGCCCATTCTTCAAGGCAAAACTGCTCCAGCAAGTTGGATGGGTTCTGCTGGTGTACAGCAATCTTTAAGTCATACCACAGATTCTCAACTTCTGGGCTTTGACAAGGCCATTCCAAGACATTTAAATGTTTCCCCTTAAACCACTCGAGTGTTACTTTAGCAGTATGCTTAGGGTCATTGTCCTGCTGGAAGGTAAACCTCTGTCCCAGACTCAAATCTCTGGAAGACAAACAGGTTTCCCTCAAGAATTTCCCTGTATTAAGCGCCATCCATCATTCCTTCAATTCTGACCAGTTTCCCAGTCCCTGCCGATGAAAAACATCCCCACAGCATGATGCTGCCACCACCATGCTTCACCGTAGGGATGGTGCCAGGTTTCCTCCAGACGTGACGCTTGGCATTCAGGCCAAGGAGTTCAATCTTGGTTTCATCAGACCAGAGAATCTTGTTTCTCATGGTCTGAGAGTCTTTAGGTGACTTTTGGGAAACTCCAAATGGGCTGTCACGTGCCTTTTACTGAGGAGTGGCTTCCGTCTGGCCACTCTACCATAAAGGCCTGATTGGTGGAGTGCTGCAGAGATGGTTGTCCTTCTGGAAAGTTCTCCCATCTCCACAGAGGATCGCTGGAGCTCTGTCAGTGACCATCGGGTTCTTGGTCACCTCCCTGACCAAGGCCCTTCTCCCCCGATTGCTCAGTTTGGCCGGGCGGCCAGCTCTAGGAAGAGTCTTGGTGGTACCAAACTTCTTCCATTTAAGAATGATGGAGGCCACTGTGTTCTTCGGGACCTTCAATGCTGCAGAAAGTTTTTGGTACCCTTCCCCAGATCTGTGCCTCGACACAATCCTGTCTCTGAGCTCTACAGACAATTTATTCGACCTCATGGCTTGATTTTTGCTCTGACATGCACTGTCAACTGTGGGACCTTATATAGACAGGTGTGTGCCTCCCCAAATCATGTCCAATCAATAGAAATTTACCACAGGTGGACTCCAATGAAGTTGTAGAAGCATCTCAAGGATGATCAATGGAAACAGGATGCACCTGAGCTCAATTTCGATTCTCATAGCAAAGGGTCTGAATACTTAAGTAAATAAGGTATTTCTGTTTTTTTATTTGTAATACATTTGCAAAAAGGTTTTTGCTTTGTCATTATGGGGTATTGTGTGTAGATTGCTGAGGATGTTTTTGTATTTAATACATTTTAGAATAAGGCTGTAACGTAACAAAATGTGGAAAAAGTCAAGGGGTCTGAATACTTTCCGAAGGCACTGTATGTATGTGTGTATATATATATATATATATATATATATATATATATATATATATGAGAATTACATTTTCTACATACTTTGTCTGGTTTGAGTCATTCACGTTTACACGGAAATCATTTTTCCATCCCGAAAATGTATAAAAATATGTAATTAATAAATTGCGGTGCGCCACTGCTAAATGAATATAGGGGAAACACTGGCTGCTCATTGTTCCCTCTCCCCATCCCCCTCTTAAAAGGCACGGAGCATGGTGAGATGTGAGTTATATGAGCAATGAGAGGGACAAGAAAATCACCTTATGTGAGAACAATTCACAGGATATGAGGTATTTTCTTAGTGATCCAGATAGTTGAGACATGGAAGAAATAAGTATGTGTGTAAAGAGAGCTAGACCTGAATGTGACATAATGGAGCTACAGCAGGCATGGTCTGAGGTAGTGTAAACTATTTACTTTAGTTTAAGTAACAAACTGTCAATACTGAGCCTGAGGTGAAGTGAAAGGCCCCACATGTACAGGCATGCTGCCTCCTACACTACTCTCCCACACCCTCACTGTTCACACAAAAATACCAGTCACAATGGCCGATCCTTTTCCATAATCACAGTAGTTTGACCAAGAACATAATCTGACAGGTCAGTGTGACATAAACATCTAGTAGGCAACAGAGAGACCACAAAAACTGAGCTCTGAGGATCCTGGATCACATAAGAAAATCAAGTATGGAGATCAAATAACTAACGTTACTTTGGTGGGTAGCTCATTCCTTTCTTTATTCGGTCTGTCTGAGATAAATCGCCTGGATACGACAAGAGCCAGAGACAGGAGAAGGTGTCTGTCTGAAGACCTGTGAAATACCTAGGCTAGCTCTCGCCCAGTGGATTAGTTACCGGAACAACAAAGTATGTTTCCCTTTTCCCTCCATTCCCTAATCAAATTACTAACGTCACACTATTCCAGCTCATGGTGCTAAGTGAGTGGAGGTAGAGAGAAATGAGGAAGGTGGGGAGAGAAAATACATTCTACTCACGATTACAGGTCTAAAGCAAAGCCCCTCTTGAGAAAAACAACAGCGTGCCGATTAGAAACCCAATGTGTTCGGTGTTAATGTTCTGTTGTCTAACCTGTTCAGATTCTGAATCATAATCCTCTTCGTCTGCACTCAGTGACAAGGCCATGGTTCCTCTCTCTTCTCATCGTCTGTCCAGCGTTGTTTAGAAAACTGACATGGCTGAAGCCTCCAGCCCGGCTGCTGTTCTGTTCTGCTGTTGCCAGCTCGCTCTCAGTCGCCCCCCTCTCCCTCTCTTCACACACAGGAACAGGCAGCTGCACAGACACACACAAGGCGACAGGAAGCCTCATGAATATGCGTCGGGAAGGTCAGGAGAGGGGAGTGGGGGGACAGGCCAAGCCAATGGAGAGACAGATGGCATTCGGTTACAGGGTTGCTTTCAAAGGGCGCCCAGAGTCAGAGATGGTGGGACTGGAGGGGGGTAGGGAGGGAATGGTCAGGAATAATTGAAGATGTCTTTCACTTGGTGACAGATACAGGAAGCCATCAGCTACTCTGGGTTTGATTGCTCTTTCCTTAATGTCTACAGATAGGCCTTTTGTTCCTCTGACTATCTCGTGATTTCTTGGTAGTTCCAGTAAGTAAAGTACTAATGTAGGACATTGAGTGCTTTCATTGGAATAATTAAATTAATTGCTGCAAAAGTATTACCAATTTAACAAAAGTGTGTCATCACTATTACATTTACATTTTAGTCATTTAGCAGACGCTCTTATCCAGAGCGACTTACAGTTAGTGAATACATATATACATTTTTTTATACTGGCCCCCCGTGGGAATCGAACCCACAACCCTGGCGTTGCAAACGCCATGCTCTATCAACTGAGCTACATCCCTGCCGGCCATTCCCTCCCCTACCCTGGCCGACTGTGCGCCGCCCATGAGTCTCCCGGTCGCGGCCGGCTGCGACAGAGCCTGGATTCGAACCAGGATCTCTAGTGGCACAGTTAGCACTGCGATGCAGTGCCTTAGACCACTGCGCCACTCACGAGACATTATACTGTTCAAGTCTGATCTAATAATGCCCAGAACCTTATTTTTCTTGTTGAATTTCTTGCATCTGTGCATATGAACATATGAAATGGTAGGATATTATAATACAATTGTTAGATTAAAATATGATGGACAAAGCGACAGCTGCACACGCCTTTCCCAAATCCCCCCCATCCCACAGAGTACCCCACAAAATATAAACTACTGCGCATTATACTGGACAACGATTCTACAAACCTCGGAAGAGTTTGTTTAGGTGAGAAAGACTCATGAGCCTTCGATTATCTCATGTGTTTGTTCAGAAACATTTATTCTCACAAGAGACTAAAATGACAAATTTACTGCCACAGCCATCCGTCACACTCTTTTAATAAGTCCATCATATGAAACTCTTGAAAAGGAGGCAGTATAAGCTGTTGTCCATTGCTGGTCACAAGGGACTTCATCTACTTTCTGTTTCTAGGCGCTTTGCCAGGACATTTAGTTCAACACCGAGTTTGACTGGCTGCAGACTGCCCCCAACAACTGGCATAAACAGATACGATAAGATTGTTCTGCATGCCTAGTTGGGCCTTGTCTTCTCTGACATCAGGGACATTGTACATGATTGTGTGCTCACCCACCTTGTCTTGTGTACTTGGTCAGTGCATAAACCTGTCACCAAAACCAATGAGAAGAAGTTTCACAGCGCAGATACTCTCAAAGCCAGCAGCAGCACTTGTGTGAGGGGAGATACGAGTATGAGAGCGCACATACAATCAAAGCAATATAAAAGGGAAGAACACATTGTACTAGTATAAATGTGCACACCAAATAGCTTAAAAGGGAGACCAATAAAGGTTAGTTAAACACATGAAAGTATTTGATAAAAAGCGGTACTTACAAAATGATTTCTAGGCCTTCATTCTCAGGCTCCATTGATTTGTCATAATGTAGGATATGCCCTCCACTAGGTGGCAGTCAAAGATGGTTGCTCAATTGCATGTCTCCTATCAAATCCAGTAATCGGATAATGAATTAATAATTGCACTAATGAACACGACCAAGCCAATAGCACACTGAGAGACAGCTTACAACACGTCCTATGTCACAGATGCATCGAATTGTTGCAGATGGAATGCTGGTACTAGAATCTTGTCAATCTTCTATGGCTGAAATGCAAGAAGTGAAAAGTATGGTATACGTTTGTGCAATTCTATTGGCTATGGATGGACAAACAAATACAATAACCCCACGGTATTCAACACATTGTTTGCGTTATTTATACGAAGTTGATGTGGGCTATTCAAACATGCACCCATTCAGATCTAGACCAGCCACACAACCCACAAAGGCGCACTACAACTACTGCAACTTCCGCAAGAAGTGCGGCCGCACACAGAAACAGCATTGGATTGTGGGTAGTATATCTTGTCGTTTCCTTAATTAGTTATGGCTACAGTAGCAGAAGGGTAACCTTTTTTGAAATCATAGTTTTCTTTTACAAATCTCTAGTTTAGAAGTACAGTTGTATGTCAAGTCGCATGAGTCCACAGCGCGTGTATTTTTTATCGACTCATCCACTTGGAAGAACTACAGGTTGACTGCTTGAAAAGTTATTACCAAAATGAGTTTGAACGAGCACTCTTTGCAAGCTCTGTCATGGAGAAAACTTTACTTGAGTCGAGCAAAGCTGAAGGCTACGAGCAGAACTTCAGCTCTCCTGTCGGGTTTCGCAATGGTGAGTACCAGGACCCAGTCATATGGATTGGAGCGGCTTCTGACAACCTTGACAAAATGTAGTGTTATGACGCACTATTTCTTGACACTACACCTACTGGTTGGCTATTCTACCAGCCTGGTCTCATAGACGACGTAATATAGTAAACGTAAATGATTATAGCTACTCAAATTAGTGTGATATGCAGCCTGGTCTCATAGACTAGACGTAAATGTAAATCTGGGACACTCTAAATAGTATGATATGTTACGTTTGGTATGGGTTACATAAGACAGATGGTTACCTAAGGCAAAAATGAAAGTAGGGTTGTTGGTCGGGGTGGCTGGTTGGGCGAATAACGCGAGTTTGAATCTTATTACGGACAACTTTAGCATTTTAGCCAATTAGCATTTTTTAAACTACTTAGTACTTTTAGCTACTTTGCAACTACGTAGCATGTTAGCTAACCCTTCCCCTAATCCATTAACCTAACACCTAAACTTAACCCTAACCCCTAGCTTAGCTAACGTTAGCCACCTAGCTAACATTGGCCACCTATTCCAATTTGTTGTGGTTAACGTTAGGTAGGTGGCTAACGTAAGCCACAACAAATTGGAATTCATAACATATCATACGTTTTACAAATTCGTAAAACATATTATACGAATTGTAATACGTAACATATCATACGAAATGGATGATGGACAGCCTCAAATTAATACATACCATACGAAACATACACATTTCTGTGTCCCGGATTTACATTTACTATGTTACGTCTACTCCTGAGTCCAGGTTGTAGCATCCTACCAGTATTTGACTATAATGCTGGATAAACCAAGACTGTTTTGATTGAAAATAACCAGTGGACATATTTAACGATATGCATTAGGCCTACAATTTAATTTATTTCTGTATGAAACCGGTTACATTGCAATTTGTGACGCATAGATTTGCATATGCATAGTTGAATGCATTCAAATGTCTCTGCAAGTTTAAACCACTATGCAAGGCCAGATGCAAATTAAGGATGGCATTAGTGAGTCCAATCTAAACCTTAACCTACCATAAATAAACTGCAGCAAATTATACACAAGGCAAATCTGACAGTCACTCACCCAACAGAAAGTTGGACCCAGTACATTTGTCAGCTGGTCATAGGGGCTAGGCTAAACTACATTTGTACATCTTCCTGTGCAGTCCTGCACCCGATAGAGGGTTGCCAGGTGACGATGCCTCCTGGCGGCCATGTTGGAAGACCACCGCATCAACAACAACCGCTGAGTGGCTACCCCAAGCTGCATGATAACGGTGCCTAAAACTACTTGATTCATCACCATGGTACATTTCTGTGCAGTATTTGGCTGCTCTAACAATGCAGGAAAGACAACAGGGAAAAAAATATTTGTACAGATTACACGCTATCATGAAACACCAAGGAGATAAGACTCTAGAACAGTCATAAAAGCAAAGAAACCTTTTTGGCTGATATCCAGAGAGAGTGACAATCAAATAAAACTAATTGGAGAGCTTACAACTGAAAAAAAAGGTAATGTTCATTTGAGAATACAACACAGAAACACAGACTAATCAGAGACAGATTCCCTTCCCCTCTTTATTGCAGGATTGTGATCTGTGATTAGTCAACATTGACACTAGTTCATCTTGAATAATAGTTTTAAGTTAACAAGTTTAAACACTTCACTTCAAAGAATCAATACTTTATTTAATATTATTTCAAAGTGTACAAGTAAGCTAACTTGTATGTAAAGGTTTAGACATTTTAGTAACAAGTAGTTAGACTATTATTACAAAAGCATAATTTCAGGTGAACAAAAAAAGTAAATACCAGAGGTAGCCAACCTCACGCCACTGATCCCTAATCGACTTGGTGAGCAGACTTCTATTCCAGCCCAGCAATAGCACACTTGATTATCGACTAATTTGGTTTGAGAAATTGAATCAGTTGTGTTAGTGCTTGGCTGGAACAGAAGGGTTGGCCTGCTCCAGTTGTAATAGGTTTATACATTGTGTGTGACTTTTTAAAACTATTTTTATTTACAACATTTGCCAACATAGGTACACATATAACACATGGTATACAAGGATGTACCCTTATTCTCTTGGGACATTGGGCCATTCATTGGGACCTCTTCATCTGCATACAGGATTTCACAGCTTGCTGTATCTGAGGACAGAAAACATCACAAAGAAACAGGCTTCATTATACTCAAATTAGACAGCACTGAATATTATTTTTCTATATCGCTCTGTCCACATAGTTTTTCTCGCTATGGCCTGGAACTGGAGAATCTTTTCATAATGTCCTCCCACAACCGTACATACCGTATCCAGAGTAGCCTACTCTCTCCCTTCTTTGACAGCTGGCGCTGATAATCATTTCACCCTCTTCCATGCCATGGCTGTTAGCTAGCTAGCTACAAATGGCGTTCGTTTTTTAACTTTTTTTATTTACAATGATAAATACAGTGCATTCGGAAAGTATTCAGAGCCCTTGACTTTTTCCACATTTTGTTACGTTACAGCCTTATTCTAAAATGGATTAAATTGTTTTTTCCCCCCTCATCAATCTACAGACAATACCCCATAATGACAAAGCAAAAACTGGAATATGACATTTACATAAGTAAACGACCCTTTGAGTACATTGTTGAAGCACCTTTGGCAGCGATTACAGCCTTGAATCTTTTGGGGTATGACGCTACAAGCTTGGCACACCTGTATTTGGGGAGTTTCTCCCATTCTTTTCTGCAGATCCTCTCAAGCTCTGTCAGGTTGGATGGGGAGTGTCGCTGCACAGCTATTTTCAGGTCTCTCCAGAGATGTTTGATCACGTTCAAGTCCGGGCTCTGACTGGGCCACTCAAGGACATTCAGAGACTTGTCCCGAAGCCACTCCAGCGTTGTCTCGGCTGTGTGCTTAGGGTCGTTGTCCTGTTGGAAGGTGAACCTTAACCCCAATCTGAGGACCTGAGTGCTCTGGAGCAGGTTTTCATCAAGGATCTCTCTGTACTTTGCTCCGTTCATCTTTCCCTCGATCCTGACTAATCTCCCAGTCCCTGTTGCTGAAAAACATCCCCACAGCATGATGCTGCCACCACCATACTTCACCGTAGGGATGGTGCCAGGTTTCTTCCAGACGTGACGCTTGGCTTTCAGGCCATATGGTTCAATCTTGGTTTCATCAGACCAGAGAATCTTGTTTCTCATGGTCTGAGAGTCTTTAGGTGCCTTTTGGCAAACTCCAAGCGGCTGTCATGTGCCTTTTACTGAGGAGTCGCTTCCGTCTGGCCACTACTAAAAAGGGCTGATTGGTGGAGTGCTGCAGAGATTGTTGTCCTTCTGGAAGATTCTCCCATCTCCACAGAGGAACTCTGGAGCTCTGTCAGAGTGACCATTGGGTTCTTTGTCACCTCCCTGACCAAGGCCCTTCTCCCCCGATTGCTCAGTTTGGCCGGGCGGCCAGCTCTAGGAAGAGTCTTGGTGGTTCCAAAATTCTTCCATTTAAGAATGATGGAGGCCACTGTGTTCTTGGGGACCTTGAATGCTGCAGAAATGTTTTGGTACCCTTCCCCAGATCTGTGCCTTGACACAATCCTGTCTCTGAGCTCTACGGACAATTCCTTTGACCTTATGGCTTGGTTTTGGCTCTGACATGCACTGTCAACGGTGGGAGCTTTTTATAGACAGGTGTGTGCCTTTCCGAATCATGTCCAATCAAATGAATTTACCACATGTGGACTCCAATCAAGTTGTAGAAACATCTCAAAGATGATCAATGGAAACAGGATGCACCTGAGCTCAATTTCGAGTCTCATAGCAAACGGTCTGAATACTTATGTAAGTAAGCTATTTCTGTTTTACATTTTTAATAAATGTGCAAACATTTCTAAACCTATTTTCGCTTTGTCATTATGGGATATTGTGTGTAGATTGATGAGGGAATAATATAATCTTTTTTAGAATAAGGCTGTAAAGTAACAGAATGTGGAAAAAGTCAAGGGGTCTGAATACTTTCCGAATGCACTGTACATCAAGATAGCTAGCTAACTTCATATTAGCTAGCTAGCTAAGTGGTGATATTTAATTCACTTAGCTAGCTAGCTATTCAGTATGTAAAGTTAGCTATCTAACAGTGCATAATTGTTTATAATTTTCAAAATATATTTACTTACTTGAATAGGTTCTCCCACTGCCTCTGTTTTCTGGGTGCTTAGAAAAAAACGAAATAATGGGCAATCTTTCCGATTGTTTTTCGGTGGTAGCAAAACGCAGCCAGCCATGTGGACGATTGGGGGACACAGGGCAACAAAGTTCCACCAGACTGACTGGTCTACCAACAACGGCGCCTGGTGTGGTTGCTAGGTGATTTGTGACACAACTGCAACCCCTCTATAGAGAAAAAAACATGGAATTGTCACATGCAGTGGTTGAGCTATAAATTACATAATTGTCTCTGTTCAAATTGTTCTGAATCATCATCCTGTTTGCACGTTGCTCTTTCGGTCAGCCTGTAACCGTGTGAAAATGTGTGCCTATTTCAGGTGGCTATGGTGGAGGTGCAGCTGGAGCAAAATCATGTGTATCCCCAAGGGCTGCTGATAGCCTTCAGCGCCTGCACCACTGTCCTGGTGGCAGTGCACCTTTTCGCCCTGATGATCAGCACCTGCATCCTGCCAAACCTGGAGGCCGTCAGCAACGTTCACAACTTGAACTCGATCAACGAGTCACCCCATGAGCGCATGCACTGCTACATTGAGCTGGCCTGGGCCTTCTCCACTGTCATCGGCACCCTTCTCTTCCTGGCCGAGGTGGTTCTGCTGTGCTGGGTCAAGTTCCTGCCCCTCAGTCCCCCAAGTGATAAAAATAGCACCGTCAATTCTGGTGAGGCGGCAGCCATCGTCTCCACCGCCATCATGGTGCCGTTTGGACTGGTTTTTATCGTGTTCGCTGTGCACTTCTACCGCTCTCTAGTCAGTCACAAAACTGACCGTCAGTTTCGGGAGCTGGAGGAGCTGTCCAATATCACCCGGCTGCAGAACCAGCTGGACCACAGGGCGGAGACGACCAGTCTGCAGCCCTCCTCCGTCCACTTCCCCTAATGGGAGCACACACAAGGAAGGAGTTAGAGCAGTAGGCAGCTGGAAGAAATCTATAATGAAACATTTCAAAAGTATCTATTTGCATGAGCACCATGAGAAAGGATACTTTATATAGTAATATATCCTTTTTTCAGGTGTTTTGTATTGGGATTTGGACTCTGCTCTAGGCCTTTTTCTATTTGTGTAAATAGTTGGGGAGAGGTCAGAAGAATTTGCTTTGTATTGTTCACTAGTTTGGACTCAAGCCACTATTTTGTTTACTTTGCTGCATGTCTATTGTCTGAATGTGAGTGAGCACCTGTATGAAAATATTTTTTACATCTTCATTACATAGAAGATGATATTTGTAGTTATGTCACATACACATAACTACACTAAGTTTAGTCTATGGTGGCTGGGGAACACCAAAAGTGTGGGATGAACATACTGTAAGAGAACATTTTGTGAAGTAGCTAGAATTATTAATTTAACAAAACGATAACCAGCCAATTTCCATGAAAGGAAAACTGCTCAGGAGAGCATAATGTAGTAACGGCTGTAATAGTGCTGGTGCAAGGGAAGAGCTGAATTGAGATTTTTAGTTAGTTGACCTTAATCCATTTGATCAGGTCTGGAATATATACCTTTTATATTTTAACATTTTAAACTCCATACAATTGATCAGATTTGCTCCGATGGTCATTTGATGAGTTAATGTATTTTAAGCACACATACTGTTACATGATAGACAAATACAAGTGTGGAATTTGAAATGTATTTGTTTATCCTTTCCTCTACATTGTGGAATTATTAGACTGGTTGGTTGGGATATGGTTCCCAGTTCCTCATGTCAGGCTGAAATACCATCCTCAACGTAAAGTACTTCCCTTAACAATATTGTAAAGCTCTGTTTGTTTTGTATTCACGACAAATCACAAGTAGCTACTTCTAGAGGAAATACTTCACCAAACTAGAGGGCAAATTAATAAATACATTTTTATGGAGGCAAAATATTCAGATCTTTGTCTTCGACCTTTTAATGTGATCCAAGTGCACATATTTACTTTCATCAAATAATGGCACATGATCTTCTGCTGTTTTTATTATTTATGAGTCAATTGTGAAGAAGTGTTATTTCATATGGTCCACCAACCAAAGGACATCCAGCCAACTTGACACAACTGTGGGAAGCATTGGAGTTAACCTGGGCCAGCATCCCTGTGGAACGCTTTCGACAACTTGTAGAGTCCATGCCCCGACAAATTGAGGCTGTTCTGAGGGCAAAAGGCGGGTGCAACTCAATATTAGAAAGGTGTCCTTAATGTTTTGTACACTCAGTATGATGCTTTTAACATCCCCTTTAAATGCCATGAGGCCAAGATTTTTAAGATGCTGTCTTTGAGTGCCTGGGGCTTATGAAACCCCACACAATGATGTTTACCATATGAATATACTGCATTGTCTGGTGCCAAATCAGTCTTATACTGTAAATCTGTTACATTGTGGTGAGTCTCTCCAAAGGGCAGGGGATTGGATTGAGATTACCTCTTTATTAGACAATCATTAACATTATGAAAATATACATATTTTGTATATTTGATTACGTTATGCATAACAACCCTATGCCTACTGAATAAATAATTATATAAGATCTCTTATGTTGCTTCATTTATTCATATCAAAGTAAAAAAAAACATGATGTACAATGAATTACTGTTTGAGTCAACCTTCTCTTTTGAAATGAATGAAAAGATTGGATGCATCAAAATGAAAAACACAATGGTACCTTCAATTATTTACAACATCCTGCTCACGCATGCTCAAATTGTCCAAGACCCAATTTCCTTATTTGTGGGTAATAACTTGAGGGCATTGTCCATTTCTTTTAAAGAAACACATTTAGAAGATATGTCAAGAATTAACAGGAAGGAAAACCACACAAAGGACGTGGGTTAGTAGAGGGTAAAATGCAGTGGAAATGCAGCATCAATAGTGAAAGAGGACTTGTCGCGCAGTCTGTCATCTGTGTTTTCCCTGAGAGTAGGGCTAGAACATTGTCTGTATCTGGGTCACAGAAGGGCACAGAATCGTTTCCAATTTGCCTTTCTGGACTTCCTTGTTGCTGCAATGGCTCGTTTTGTAGCCTCTTTGAATATGTCCTCTACATTCTCCTTGTATTTGGCTGAACACTCCAAGTAGAGCTCAGCGTTGATCTTCATTTTGGTCTCTTCACCCTGCTCAGATGAATAAAAAAAAAAAAAAAGTTGTTGTGATTCTAATTGAGAGAGGCCAACAAAACATTACCTCAGTAGACTATTCTGAGGTAACTTCCTGTTGAGAGTTTTCAGTCTGACTGCAAATGGAAAATATTGCATGACAAAGGTTCCCTGCCTGACACGAACTAGCCAAAAAGAAAATGGCAGATAAATACATTTAGTCCATGTGAAAGGGCGATTCAGAATTTTGATTATCACTCACAGATTTGGGGTGAGTGGGGATTTGCATTGTCATTACTGTCATTAACATAATCTCATCACTGCTATTGATCTTTTGAAGGTGTTTTTGATCAAACACTTCTGATCAAAGTCTCCCTTTCCCAACAAACCACCCTAATTTAACCACTTGTATTGCATTTTCAATAAACCCAAAACGAATTACATATTATCATGTAAGTTGCACAGCAGATAGACAGTACATTCAATGTCGATAAGTTATACATAAGGCTATGTATGAAATCTCTACCTGAATGTATGTGATGGGGTTCTGGCCTGAAGACCACAGTTTCTTTGCCAAGACCTTGTCTTTCCGCAGGTCTGTTTTGCATCCTACCAGAATAATGGGCACGCCATGGCAGAAGTGATGCACCTCTGGGAACCACTGAACGATATGCTAAACAGAGTTAGATATTCTAAACATCCTACGTCATGCAGTGAAAATACATTTATAGTCAGTGGGATCTTTGTATGGCCCATAGAATAATTCCTGTGAGAGTGACTGCATCTACTGTGCAAAACGAATTTACCATGAACCTGATAAATGCTTGCTTGAGCAAGTATTCAAATGTCTTTCTGATAGTCAGCTGACATTGTCACCTATTTTCAGGGACATTAATTATGTTGTAGATGTCATGAAAATTATAGCATTGTATGTTCATGTTTCTTCCTCATTCTGTGGACAAACAGAAAAAGGAGCAGTAAAGTATGAAGAGAAGAGTGCAGTACCTTTATTAGCAAATTGTCATAACTTGAGGGGCAAGTGACATCATAGCAGATCAATACCATGTTGGCACTCTGATAGGACAGAGGCCGTAATCGGTCATAGTCCTCTTGACCTGAAATACACAGAAATAGATGGATGTGCATTATTAATGTCTTGAAAATTGCACAGCAAAATAAAATAACTCTTAAGACTAGTTGGCTGCTTAAATCAAATGGCAGCCTTATCTGTTATTCCTTTATCTTTCATTAAAATCTACTATGACTCTCTCCTGAATTTCACTTATAGTACAGTACATTATTATGATTCTTTAACAACCAGAGGGTGTCTGTTATTGCATTTCTAAGATACTGTATATTTGACTATTATGAGCACAACATGCCCACTAAAGACTCAAGATACCTGTTTAGCCAGGTGTTAGTGCACTGGTGCTTTCAAAAGCATGGATATGTAAGACCTTACCTGCAGTATCGTAGATGTTCAGGCGAAACTCAGCGCCTCTGTACCTCACGTTGGCGACACATTTTTCAAACACAGATGGAACATATTTCTGAAAGACATTGAGTTCTCTTTCAAGTCCTGTATTTTTTCAATGTTATTTCAAAGATGGTAGCTAAAAAGGTTTAAGTTAACTTTGCTATTTTTGTCATCTTGTGTGCAAATATAAATTGTGTTGTCACTTACAGTCCTCACTATAATGTCTACATGCAGAATAATAATAGTGCTGAATAAATAATGTAAATAGGTACCCTTTTCCCTGAAATGTAAGTGTAAATAGAGAAGAGAAGCAGCCAGCTGATGAGCTGGCTTTGTCAGTTGTCTTACCTCTGGAAAGTCTCCTTTAGTGCAAACCCGGAGTAGGGAGGTTTTCCCACATCCACCATCACCTACTATCACAACCTTAAACTCCTCTCGCCTCCTGGTATGCCCACTGCTCACCCCTGACATGTTCTGTAGCATGCTTCTCTCTCAGAAGCTAGATGAAAATGTGGCAAAAGAGCCTCCACTTGTTGAAGAAGATAATGGAGGCAGACACTTGAGATAAGAATAAAATGGCAAAAAAACCCTGAGTGAGAAAACTAGCTTAACCTAGTGAGTTAATAGCACTGGACTACCTGTCCATTGTCACCTTCTACCTTTGCTGAATATCCAGTGGTTTTAAGGAGGCTGCTGTTGATTGAGTACCTACCCCTCCTATGAAAGAAACCTGTTACGGCCCTTCTTCTTTCCACTGCCCCACCACCCATTTATTAATGAATGGTTACATTACCAACGCCTCATCAAGGAACACATAAAAGCCAGAAGAGATTTAATCAAAGGAAGATTATCCTAACTACCTGACAACCTCTTGTTCATTAGCTGCAGAACTCAATCAACTGTTAGTGGGAGAGTGAACAAATGGAAACGCTTAATCTATGTCCTGGAAACCAGCCATATAGCATTATGGCTTATATGGTAGAATTGTGGTGACCCCACCTCACTGTAAGGTGTTTGTTTTCATTTTGCCACCTGATGAATTATTGTAGATTTAGGTACTTACTCCAACAATTAAATCGTCTGATCCTACATTTTCCATAGTTCTATTATTTTCCATCTAGCCTAGCTGTATACCTTTTATATTTTAATGTAGGCCTATATGGACAGAATCATGATATTATTTTATTATGTTCAAAGTATCGACCCACTAGTTGACAACACAATCAAATATCAACATTTAAAGGCTCAATGGAGCTGTTTTTATCTCAATATAAAATAATTTCTGGGTAACAATTAAGTACCGTACTGTGATTGTTTTAAATTAAAATGGTCAAAAATAAACAAAAATAGCTTCTTAGTAAGAGAGCAATTTCTCAATCAAGAATTCAGTTAGGACTGTATGGGAGTGGTCTGAGTGGGGAAGGGAAACTAAAACCTTGCTATTATTGGCCACCAAAACAGGCTGAAATTTCAGGAATTTCTTTCAAACCGTTCTTACACTAAAATGGTATTATCATTTTCATAATTTCACAGTATTATTCCAACCTCAGTGTGGAAATATATATAAAAACACAGGTAAATCTAATTTTTGACGCACTGGACCTTTAAAGGATATCTAATGCTTGGATAGTTTCATCTGAGCCACTGGCTTAATCCTATTCTTTCACTTTTATTTTTGGTTTAGTTGGAGACCTGAATCCAACATAGCGTATCATTTGTTAACTTGTCATCAAGTTAATAGGCTATTTACTGTATTGCAAAAGTGATACTGAATTGTGTTGTTTGGTTGTCAACAAATTCCAGTTTGTATACAAATTATTAATTTATATGTTGGATTCACGTCGCCATCTCAACCAAGAATCAAAAGGTAAAGAATAGGACTAAATCAAGTCAAACTTTATTTAAAGTGCATTTAAAGTTTGATTTGATTTAGTCCTATTCTGTAGCCCTTTACACTCGTACCCATATACAGTGGGGGAAAAAGTATTTAGTCAGCCACCAATTGTGCAAGTTCTCCCAAGATGAGAGAGGCCTGTAATTTTCATCATAGGTACACGTCAACTATGACAGACAAATTGAGAAAAAAAAATCCAGTAAATCACATTGTAGGATTTTTAATGATTTATTTATTTGCAAATTATGGTGGAAAATAAGTATTTGGTCACCTACAAACAAGCAAGATTTCTGGCTCTCACAGACCTGTAACTTCTTCTTTAAGAGGCTCCTCTGTCCTCCACTCGTTACCTGTATTAATGGCACCTGTTTGAACTTGTTATCAGTATAAAAGACACCTGTCCACAACCTCAAACAGTCACACTCCAAACTCCACTATGGCCAAGACCAAAGAGCTGTCAAAGGACACCAGAAACAAAATTGTAGACCTGCACCAGGCTGGGAATACTGAATCTGCAATAGGTAAGCAGCTTGGTTTGAAGAAATCAACTGTGGGAGCAATTATTAGGAAATGGAAGACATACAAGACCACTGATAATCTCCCTCGATCTGGGGCTCCACGCAAGATCTCACCCCGTGGGGTCAAAATGATCACAAGAACGGTGAGCAAAAATTCCAGAACCACACGGGGGGACCTAGTGAATGACCTGCAGAGAGCTGGGACCAAAGTAACAAAGCCTACCATCAATAACACACTACGCCGCCAGGGACTCAAATCCTGCAGTGCCAGACGTGTCCCCCTGCTTAAGACAGTACATGTCCAGGCCCGTCTGAAGTTTGCTAGAGTGCATTTGGATGATCCAGAAGAGGATTGGGAGAATGTCATAAGGTCAGATGAAACCAAAATATAACTTTTTGGTAAAAACTCAACTCGTCGTGTTTGGAGGACAAAGAATGCTGAGTTGCATCCAAAGAACACCATACCTAGTGTGAAGCATGGGGTGGAAACATCATGCTTTGGGGCTGTTTTTCTGCAAAGGGACCAGGACGACTGATCCGTGTAAAGGAAAGAATGAATGGGGCCATGTATCGTGAGATTTTGAGTGAAAACCTCCTTCCATCAGCAAGGGCACTGAAGATGAAACGTGGCTGGGTCTTTCAGCATTATAATGATCCCAAACACACCGCCCGGGCAACGAAGGAGTGGCTTCGTAAGAAGCATTTCAAGGTCCTGGAGTGGCCTAGCCAGTCTCCAGATCTCAACCCCATAGAAAATCTTTGGAGGGAGTTGAAAGTCCGTGTTGCCCAGCGACAGCCCCAAACATCACTGCTCTAGAGGAGATCTGCATGGAGGAATGGGCCAAAATACCAGCAACAGTGTGTGAAAACCTTGTGAAGACTTACAGAAAACTTTTGACCTGTGTCATTGCCAACAAAGGGTATATAACAAAGTATTGAGAAACTTTTGTTATTGACCAAATACTTATTTTCCACCATAATTTGCAAATAAATTCATAAAAAATCCTACAATGTGATTTTCTGGAATTTTTTTTCTCATTTTGTCTGTCATAGTTGACGTTTACCTATGATGAAAATTATAGGCCTCTCTCATCTTTTTAAGTGGGAGAACTTGCACAATTGGTGGCTGACTAAATACTTTTCCCCCCCACTGTATGGGTTGAAAATGGCGGACTTGGACACTGATACGCGCCTAAATTGGAACAAAGTGGTTGTACAGTAACATGCTATACATGACGCCAGAGCTCAGGCTCTGCACTTCACAGCTCTGTATGGGTTTTGACTGACAGCAGTTCTGAATTCGAGCACTGTTCATGACAAGAAGTTGCTCCCATCCCTCCCGCTAATTGGTCAACTTTTGCAAATGTTTTGTTGTCTGAGTGAGGGAAATGCTGTAAATTACGAGGACTATGTAAGAGCGGACGATATTGCCACTCCTATTTGCCATATTTTCAATTTAAGCCTACTAGAATGTGTGTGCCTCCAGGCTTGGAGGGAAGCAAAAGTCATTCCGCTACCTAAGAATAGTAAAGCCCCCTTTACTGGCTCAAATAGCCGACCAATCAGCCTGTTACCAACCCGTAGTAAACTTTTGGAAAAAATTGTGTTTGATCTGATACAATGCTATTTTACAGTAAACTAATTGACAACAAACTTTCAGCATGCTTATAGGGAACGGCATTCAACAAGCACAACACTTACATAAATGACTGATTGGCTGAGAGAAATTGATGATAAAAAGATTGTGGGGGCTGTTTTGTTAGACTTCAGTGCAGCTTTTGACATTATCGATCATAATCTTCTGCTGGAAAAACATGTGTTATGGCTTTACACCCCCTGCTATATTGTGGATAAAGAGTTACCTGTCTAACAGAACACAGAGGGTGTTCTTTAATGGAAGCCTCTCCAACATAATCCAGGTAGAATCAGGAATTACCCAGGGCAGCTGTCTAGGCCCATTACTTTATAATGACATGCCACTGGCTTTGAGTAATGCTAGAGTGTCTATGTGTGCGGATGACTCAACACTATACATGTCAGCTACTACAGCGACTAAAATGACTGCAACACTTAAGAGTTGCAGTTAGTTTCAGAGTGGGTGGCAAGGAATAAATTAGTCCTAAATATTTCTAAAACTAAAAGCATTGTATTTGGGACAAATCATTCACTAAACCCTAAACCTCAACTAAATATTGTAATAAATCATGTGGAAATTGAGCAAGTTGTGTAACCCTGGATTGTAAACTGTCATGGTCAAAACGTATTGATACAACAGTAGCTAAGATGGGGAGAAGTATGTCCATAATAAAGCGCTGCTCTACCGTCTTAACAGTACTATCAACAAGGCAGGTCCTACAGGCCCTAGTTTTGTCGCACCTGGACTACTGTTCAGTCTTCTGGTCAGGTGCCACTTAGGAAAATTGCAATTGGCTCAGAACAGGGCAGCAGGGCTGGCCCTTGGATGTACACAGATAGCTAATATTATTAATATGCATGTCAATCTCTCCTGGCTCAAAGTGGAGGAGAGATTGACTTCATCACTACTTGTATTTATGAGAGGTATTGACATGTTGAATGCGCCAAGCTGTCTGTTTGAACTACTGGCGCACAGCTCGGACCCCACAAGAGGTCTCTTCACAGTCCCCAAGTCCAGAACAGACTATGGGAGGCACGCAGTATTACATAGAGCCATGACTACATGGAACTCTATTCCACATCAAGTAACTGATGCAAGCAGTAAAATTAGATTTTTAAAAAACAGATTAAAAAACACCTTATGGAACAGCGGGGACTGTGAAGCAACAAACATAGGCACAGACGCATACACACACGATAACATACGCACTATACACACGGATTTTGTACTGTAGATATGTGGTAGTGGTGGAGTAAGGGCCGGAGGGCACACAGTGTGTTGTGAAATCTGTGAATGTATTGTAATGATAAATGGTATAAACTGCCTTAATTCTGCTGGACCCCAGGAAGAGTAACTGCTGCCTTGGCAGCATGTGATGAGGTGTGAATGACGGAGTCAGGCGCAGGAGGTAAAACACCGAAATCAAGAGTTTATT